TATCGCGAAGATAAGATAAAAAAGATATATAGCGTCGCTTTAATATAGATTAATTTTTTAAAATAAGAAAAGATTTAAAATAAGAGATTTTTAATAATTAGATCTCTTTTTTTTATATTAGCTTCGCTATAAAGATATTAACTATCTATAATAATATATTATAATTAAAAATAATAAAATATTAAGAAATTATCGAATTCTATATCTATATAAGCTAATTTAAAATTAATAAGATATATCTTTATAAACTTTAACTTAACGCGATAAATACTTAGATTAATAATTTAATTTATAAGAGTATTTATAATTATTAAAAAGAAAGATTAAATTCTTATAAGTATATAATAGATTATATAGAATCTTATTAAAGTTATATATATCTTTTTAATTTTAATAATAAGTTCTTATAAGATAGTAAGATTTCTTTTAATAAAACTGCGTAGTAGCTATATAATTATAAGATCTAGATACGTAGTTAATAGAATAGATAGATTAGTTATTAGATAAATTAATAATTAAAGAAAGAAGAAGAAAAAAGGGGACTTATAAGTATTTAAGACTTTATTAAGTATATTAGATACTCGCTTTAATTACGTAGTTTATAGTCTAATAAGTAATATAAGCGAGCCTATTAATTCGCTTTAAATACTTTTATTCTTATAACTATATCCCCCTTAGAAAATTTAGCCTTTAAGTCTTATTATTATTACGTTTTATAATTAAATACTTATAAACTTATTAGTCTCTTATATATTATCTATTATTAGCTTAAATATAATTTAAATTAACGTATACTATAATAACGTATTTAGACTTTTTATTCTAAGATCTTCTTAAATATATTATTATATTTATATACTAAATCGCGATAGTATCGCTATACGTATTATTATTTTAATTAATAGAATATAAGCGTATTACTATCTTATTATAATATACTATTATTACTATTATTATACGCTATTATTATTATTATTACTTTAATAATTATAGTAATTCTATTATTATAATTATAAAAGTCGCGCTAGTAAGTATAAAAGATTTATTTTTAATTTAACTTTTATTCTTCTTAGTAATAATATTAACGTCGACGCTATTATAAGTAAGTATTCTATTCTTCTTTATATCTATTATCTTATCTTTATTCGTTTCTATTATAATATCGTAATAGCGAGCTATATATTATCGTAATAGTATAATATATATATTAATTAAGATAATAGTTAAATAAGATTATAATTATTTAGATTAACTTTATATATAATAAGTATCTCGAAGAATACTTTATAATACTT